CCCAATAACGTGATATTTAGGCCCTGGAATGTGAATTGTACCAGGAGAACCCCGCCAAAAAATGTGTATTTTACCCCTGAACGCGATTTTTACTGGGGGACCCCCTCGAAAGCAATTGGGATATTTTCAGGCTAGTTTGGAGTAGTAATTGGGTGGGTTTTGTAGCGAAGGACCACCTGAGATTTCCAAGCGATCGATTGCTGTGCATCTAAGGGTTTTGAGATTGGAGTTAAATGGTATGCTTTTGAGAGTTACAGATAAAACACTCACTTACGTCTGTAAGTCGCTTACCAAATATAATCTGAAATACCACACCCCACAGCCATGTCCCTTGGGCTCCTTATCCCACCGTTTTGAGGTGGTCCTCCAAAAATAGAGCCCTTTTGCCATTCTTAGCAACAGGAGAGAGAAACATGCTGGGGAACTGAAAAAGATCTTTTGTGCAGCTCATAGATGCAGAAATGCTCAATTAAATCACCTTTATATTTTATTCTGTGTTGTTGCTTAAACCTAATACAACAAAAAGCACTTGATGTCCAACAAAAAGTCACCCACAACTTCCAGGACTTAAATGCTCAAGTTAGTAATATAAGGGAAGTGAGACTTCATTAGTCAAGTTTCTAAACCTTCCCACAAGAACTGAAGTATGTGTGTGGAGTTTTGCACAGATTGAAGACAGCCCAGTGTCTCACACTCGCTTGTTTTTTCAGACAAGATGGAACTTTGTGTTGCTGCAGTGCTTTTGTCCTACTTCGCTCCAGCTTTGGGTGAGTGCTGTTGTTTTTGTTTTTTTATTGCCACCCTCTCAGCTATACTCTGAGAATTACTTTTTATATATAAATATATAAAGTAGAAATCATCTCCAGAATGTAATTAGGACAAAAATTAAAAGTATTTGTCCTGCACAGACTTTCCTTTAGAGATTAACAACAGTATGTGTGTATGCATGCAGGATCAGCTTTTGGCAGGGAAATGCCAGGTAAGTGTGTAGAGGGTTAGAGATACTTTGCTATGTGAGTGATTTTTAAAAAAAGCTGAATTTCAAGTTTTCTGTGCTTCTGTCTGATGTTGATATGTACCAAGGCTTTTTCTGTTTGTTTTTGTTTAATAAAATTTGACTGCCGTTGCACTTGACTGCTTTTCTGAAATACTGGATCAGTTTGTGCTGTTTTGGCTTTGCGTGTTTATGGCAAATTTTCTCAAACGGTTCCACCGTGTCTCATTTCGGCTTACGATTACACCTTTCCCTGAAGGGTTTTTCTGAAAAGCCGATGAAGTAACACTACTCTTACACCACGAGGCTTGAGACTTTTTCAAGTGTGCCAGTGCAGCTCATGTTGTACCTAACCTTGGGTACATGCAGTTCTGCTACTCCATATGGAGGCAGTTTTGACAGGATGAGTCTTTTAAGTATTTATTGACCTTGGGAATTATACGTATTGTTGCTTTAATGTTTTATTTTGAGATTTGTCCACTTTTAGAAGTTGCAGTAGCATGCATCTAGCCGATCCGTTGGATTTCTGGGAGAATTGCTGTTTTCTCAGACTGTGTGTGTGTGTGTGTGTGTGTGTGTGTGTTGTTGCCAACACAAACATTTGAATACACCATTTAAGCGCTCCAACACTGTCGGACTGGCCAGTGTGCTCTCATGTAAATACTGCCCACATAAATACATACTGTACATGAGCAGCAGTAAAAAAATGTTTTTTGTACACAGGAATGTTAAAGTGTTTGCATCTATGCTTTGTTCAGTGTTTTTGAAAGGGATGGAGGGAGAGCGTGCGAGAGATCATTATGGATAACCAAAGTCTTACAGTCAGACCATTCATAATGTTTAATGGGAGATTTGGAGCGATGCCTTCAACATTCTTGTTTACAGAGAGCAGATCCTCTGAAAAGACTCTTTAAAAACATGTAGGTCTATTATCATTCCACTGATAGATTTGTGGCATAAAATGACTCAAAGTAACATTTCTGCCAAATGTCTGTTTAATACTAATAAGAAGTCTTTGAAAAGAACTTGTCAAAATATTAGAATTAATGCGTCATTCTTTGAAATGAGTTCCTAAAATAACCTTTGTGTAATATAAATCTCATAGTTGAGCTTTTTAAAATGCATCTTAAGTTGATCTGGCATATTGAAAAGAAGCTTTTGGCTGCCACAGTGTGAGCATTTCTTTTGTGTCTTCCATGATTGTGCACATGCTTTTTGAACATATTGCCATATTTTGGAGTTATTATGGCTGTATGTGTGTCTGTGTCCAAACATATTAACTGTCGAAAAGTAGTATGCTACCATTTAACATTGTAGTACACTGGAATACTTTGCCAGTTCTATATTAAATAGTTTAAGAATCACTGCAAGATCTATATTAATTTTATTCATAAATTTTACATTTTTGCTTGGTTAGATTTAAATGGTAACACTTTTTTCTCTCCCTCAGCTTCTCAAATGGATGAAATTCATGGTAAGTGTTGTCTTCTAGTCTAGAATTAATTTTACATTAACTGAACGTCTTATTGGCTTATTAACAGTGTTTTTAGCCAGGCTAGACCAGGTCTAATGTTGTGTGCATTGAAAAAGCATAGGTTTGACACTATAAGCTTTTAGTTCACAGTGGGTGTGAAAAATGTTTATGGAGTCACCAGTCAGAAAGCTCTTTTGGTACATTCCATACAGTATCAATTTGTCAGTAGCATTCTGTATTTGAGAAATGGCTTGCAGATAATATCTTTTTATGTTCTGGCACTATAATGTTGTCATTATCTTAAATTTTCTTAATATTCTACATTTTGATTGCTACCAGTATTTTATTTATTTTTTTATTTATTAGAGTTTTGACTCTAGATATTTACTTTTTTTTTTTTTTCTCCCACCAGAATACGACAAGCCATTTCATTATGGTGAGTACAGATGGACTATAGCTGCTTAGGCAGTATACATATTTATATGGATTAAGGAAATCTCTTGACTTCATAAAGCTAAAAGGGGAAAAATGCTAGTATGCAAAACAGTGATTATTCAGAGGAATTTGTGTTTTTCAAAGTATTGTGAGCATAGTAGTTTTATTATGGGGGTTACAGCTGCACTCTGATGTTTCTAATAGTATGCTGAGCGCTGTTGTGTTAAGAAGGGCTTTCAGGGCCAAAGTGCATCACCTTTCTCAGGAAACATCTGGGAAGTCAGAGTGATTTGCGTTTCCCCTTCTGTTTTTCCAAAATAGATGGAAAATATTGACTCCGGGACTAAGCTTCTGTAGAACACACAAGTTAGAATCTGATATCTACCCCAGAATTTAGAATTTCCCAAATTTACTTTTTATTCAATTTGTTTATTGTCCGTATTTGGATTATATGTATAATCTGTCATGGTTACAATTAAAAGTACAACTTGGAGCCCTATTAGAAAGCAAACAACTAAGTACACATGGCAGTTTAGTGGTTCCAGACTGTCTCAGGAAAGTCATTCTTCAGCCTTTTTCATTATGCTTAGCAGATTATTGTCTGTGCATGTTGTGTTGGCCTTAACACTCGTAAGCAGGACCAAACGGAATCTGCCGAACCTTTCGCATTTTCTGTGCTGATTTTAGGGAAAATTTGTCAAATTTACATCAGATTTTTAGTTCAGATTTGTTATATGAAACTACAGTAGTACTAGGCGCTTATCTGAAGTTTAAAGCCTAACCAATGAGTCAAAGTATTGGTAAACAAATGGATGGTATGTAGAAATTTGTGAATGAGTTCTGATTCTACAGATTCCATGAGAACCTGCAATAAAGGGGCTGTTTTGTGTGTGAATCTGTAATTTGGGTATTGGTTTACCACAGATGCAACCATTTTTTGTTTTAAATATATTTTAAGTAGTGCTGTCAAACGATTAATCACATTCAAAATAAAAGTTTTTGTTTACAGAATATATGTATATGTACTGTGTATATTTATTATGTATATATAAATACACACACACATGCATGTATATATTTTGAAAGTATTTACATGTGTGTGTGTGTGTACATATATTTATATTAAATATAAATATATAAACA